ATGATTGCAGCCATATGTAATTTATTGATGTCAAAAGTGTTGATTGATTTACACATTTTTAGAAACTGGTCAAAAGAAGTATATCTGAACTCATTGATTAACACTCACCTAAATATGCTACGAGAATAACTAATAAGACAGGTTTAGGCAAAATTCGACATAGCATAGGATTTTGTCTTTCTTCTATCCGTTCGGTATCGTGGCGATTAACATCGCTATCGGAATACTCCTATTTTAGACTTCTTGAACCATTTTCTCAGGTTCCGGAGCCAAGAAATTCTTCTCCCTGGTCCTCTATTTCCATAAACTTTTCTCTGAAGAACGAGTTGTAATAAGCTATAATAAGCCATATCTTTAGTCCTTATAAACTCATCAGTTTTCAAAATAGCCTTCCTTATTTGATCCAAATATCTTTCCCTGGGGAATTTTTAAGGCCTACAAATAAGATGTCTTGCTATGAGTCAGGTGCTTAGTCTTGATGAAAGAACAGTTTTTTAAATGAATATCTCTTATCGCTCGGTATGTTTTGCATAGGACCAAAATCCTATTTAGCGTTACTTAAAAAATCAAGACGTGTGTAGTAACCTTGCAGTTTTTACAAAATTAAATAAAATTATAAAATTAAATAAAACTATAAAAAGTTATTAAAAAATCATAAAAAAATTTTGTTCTGAAGCTATTTTCTTATGGTATCTGAAAGTAAATATTACTTTAATGAGAATAAGCCACAATTGAAATTTAAAATAAGTTTATTGACGTTTCAATTTCCACTTCGGAAATCGTTTCAAATCAAAGGAGGCATCGTTGTCCTCCTTCCTGGCATAAACCTAAACTGTTTTTCTCATATCAATGTCTCTCTTCATAACCTTCGCTCTACAGTTCTCTTCCAAATTTTCATTGTGTGCAACAATAATTTTATCCCTCTATAGTTCCTACAATCCTGAATGTCCCCATCACACACTCTCTCTCTCTCTCTTTCTCTCTCTCTCTCTCTCTCTCTCCATTTATTGGATATCCTTTCTTCCTCATATATCCTACTTCAAAACATCAACTTCTTCCTCTACTAGAGCCTTGCAACCTGCAAAGGTATTCCATCAGGTCCTACTGCCTTACCATTCTTCATTCTATTTAATGTCTCGACAACCTCATCTCCCGCTATCCCGGTATTACATTTTCATTTGGTATCCTCTGTCTCTGCTTTGGTATTCTTCATTTAACAACTTTCTAAAGTACTCATACTATCTTTGCTTTCAATATCAGTTCTTAACATTTTTCCAGCCGCACTCTTAATATGCCGCACGTTAGTCAAGTCCTAAAATAAAGATTATACACTATGCTAGACGTGCGTGAATCACCCTGTACGGTTAATGTATGTTTAAAAATCGCACATTATATTTAAAAGTTGACGGGTCTCGGTGTTTTTTTTTGTATTTTTTTAAAATAAGGACACACAATTTTATTCCATAAGTGGTTTCCACACTATTCGTTCTGTGCAGCCGACGGGAGAGGATATACGTCACGTTTAAAGTGCTCATATCGGCCAAATTTGGCCGATGGCAGGCAATATTTGTTGCATTGCAAACTGCTGCGACAAGTGGAAAATATTGGAAGGGGGGAGGGGGTTAGCATAATTATTGAATTATATCGTTTATTGTTAACTTTACGACATAATTGTGCAGAAACAAAAATGGAGAGAATTATATTTTAAACAATTTTGATCTCTTATTTTTTGCTAAAATTAATATTTAAGGTCGTACGTATACGGTAAGGGCTTGCGGAGATTGGTTTTGATAGGAATTGTTTTTATTCAATATCTGGACCACTTTCAACTTTTCGACAAAATAGTAAAGCCTTAAATTGTTGCAATTGCGATTCTCTAAAATTTCTCCTTTACAAATGTTTACAAGGGATAGATCTACTTCAGGATCCCAAACAGAAATTCTACTTCTGACCAAAATCACAAACCAGGGATCAGAATTAATATCAGAAATAACTCCACACGAAATCAAAACGGCACTTTTAGAAATGAAAAATAAGAAATCCTCTGGCGTGACCGATAGGTGGAAATAAAATTATCCACGTTTTGGTCAAGCTTTTCACCGAATGCATCTACCAAGAAAAAACTCCTTCTTAATGGAACAATTCAGTCATTATTTTATTACACAAGTAAGGAGACATAACAGATCTAAAAAACTACCGTCCTATCAGTTTACTTTCACACATTATAAACTTTTCACAAAAATTATCAAAAAATACCTAACTTAAAAGACTATAATTTAGACTTCTATCAGCCTAGAAAACAAACTGGATTTAGATTGGGATACAGCACTAACGACCACTTACTAGTGATAAAGAACCTGATAGAGAAGTCTGCAGAATACAACAAACCATTGGCCATAAACCATCAGAAAATGTTAAAAGAAAAGTTAATTGGCATAATGCCGAATAGACCATCGCTACACCAACATAATCAATATATCTGCCAAATTTCCACAGCTAGCGTAAGACTATCTGAACAAGAAACAAATAAATTATGTATACAGCGAGGAAAACGGCAAGGAGACATTGTCTCTCCAAAACTATTCACAACACTTTTGGAACATGCTTGTAAGAAGGCACATTAAAGGCGATTAGAAGGCGATTTTAAATTTACACTACTATTGACCCTCATAAAGGTTAGAATAACACAATTTGGGGTAGCCCGCAATGTAAGGTCAAATTCCATCCCAATTTGGCTATAAAGACAAAATGTTTTATACGTCTTCCAGATGACGTCATATCTAACGTCACCGCAGGTACGGCGACTGACGCCCATTTAACTGACTATCGAACACTATTCAACTGCTACAAATAAAATTTATTGGGTATACGAGGAGAACGAGGACTAGGAAGGCGAAGAATTTCCTGGATGAAAAATCTACTTACGTGGTTCAACACAACAACCACAAATTTTTCAGATCGGCAATTTGCAAAATACAGATTGCCATGATAGTCGCAACATCCGAAACAGAAAGGCACTACAAGAAGAAGAAGAGTATAAAATTCCTACGAAAACACAACGCTACTTCCCGCACTATCTATGAATAGAGCACAGCGGCATATGCGTAATGCGCAAGCTATGCTAAAGAGAGATAGATATACTACCGATCGAGTGCTCCGCATTTCATTATTTCGCTCACTATGCCTAGTCTATTCTTATTAGGTCTACATTTGTTACCTTATGTGACTTGATTTTCCGATCAGCCACCACGATTTTCGTCCACAGCGTTCATCATCATCAGCCGCTGTACAACCGCTTTTAAAATCAGCGTATCAGCTATTCGTTGTTTCCTATGAAACTGAATCAGCGTATCAGCTATTCGTTGTTTCCTATGAAACTGAGTCTGAATATCATTTACCAAACCATTGCTTTGCTGAACATTATTTTTTCCTAACAGGAAGCAATTGCTGTATATGAAATTGTTATTACATGTTTTTATTGTTTTGAAAATTATAAAAGTAGCTTCACCTAAGCCACTATAAGCTTTAAAATAATAATCTGATTGAGATAAAGTATTGATCCCTTTGTCGTTTTAAATGGACTGCATATTCTATTGCCCGTTTTGATAGCTACTTCGTTATTCTTGTAGAGTGCTTTTTCCACGTTTATTAATCTTCGTGGAACTTCGATGTCTTCCATTGCTTCCCATAGCTTGGTTCTAGGTATTGAGTCATATGCCTTCTTAAGATCAACAAAAGCCAGATAGATGGACCTATTTTTTGCCATTCTTTTTTCTATTAGTTGTTCGACCGTGTAAATGTGATTTAAGCATGCTTTCCCCGCTGTGAAACCTGCCTGGTCTTCTCTGATTTTATCTTGTATATATATTTCTAATTTTTCCTTTATGGTCTTTCCATACAGTCTGCCTATAGACGATATAATGCTGATTCCCCGATAGTTTTCGCAGTTTTTTTCTATTTCCTTTCTTGTATATTGATGTCATATATGCTTGGGTCCATTCTGCCGGTAAGTCTTCTCCGTTTAGTGCTCTCTCAAACATTTTGTGTACCATACGGAATAACTTTTCCGATCCGTTTTTTATTAATTCATTTGGTATTCCGCCGGGACCTTCTGCTTTTTTGTTCTTGAGAGTTTTGATCGTTCTTTTTACCTCAGCTAGGCTTAATTCGATTTCGTAATGTGTATAGATTTCTATTCCGTCTATTTCTGAGTTTTTGAGTTCGGGGCGGTCTTCGGTTAGCAATTTTTTATAGTATTCTTGCCATTCGTTTTCTTTGATTTGACCGATCTTGATTTTCTCTGTCTTATTTCTTTGGAGCGACTTTAAGATGCGCCATGACTCTGAAATTCTCGTTCCTCTTATGTGCTGTTCTATCTCTGTGCATGTTTTTTTCCCATCTTTCATTTTTTTCATTTGCCACTTTTCTTTTCACTTCTTTATTTTTTTTCCTGTATAGTTCCAAGTCCTCATAGTTTTTTGTGTTCAGGTATTTTATATGGAGTTCTTTTTTCTCTTTTATGCATGTTAGTGTGTCTTCGGTTAATTTCGTGGTTTGGTGGGTGTATTTTTGGTCCACTTCTCCAAGAGCTTCTAGGGCTGCTGTCTTCATGCAGGTTTTTGTGTTCGTATGTTTGTTCGAATGATTCATACCGAAACTCTTCTAGCTTTTGGTCCAATCTTCGCTTATATAGGTCTTTTATTGAGTCTTCTTCTAATAAATTGATTTTGAATTTCTTTTCTTGTGTTGAGCACGTATTGACAGGTGTAGTCGGAGCCGTAAATTGACCCGACTCTCCCTGGGTCGGTTTCTGTTGGGTCCATATGAAGGGAAATTCCATCCAAGCGATTACTAGTTTGTGATCTGTGCCGCATTCTGCGCCTCGCTTTACTCTCTAAACTCTAAACTCTACTACTAAACTCATGAAGACGCTATATAATATTTTTATTGAAAACTTATTAGCTTTATCTCCAGTTTTTTATGTAGATTTCAATTTTTAGAATTCCAGAAATAGAACATGTTGAAGTGGAAGGTTCCAACAATACAAGAGGGGATGTTGCAATTCTTCAAAGACCCAAGCTGAAACCTGTGGAGGATTTATTCGCAAATCCGGACAATGATCCCACTATTATTGAATCCGATGAGGAAGAAACAATCAGATGCTAATTCATTCTTTATTATGTGATATTTAAAGTTGCTATTTTTTATTTTGCTCTTTAGCTATAAGCTGTTCTCAAATGGTTGTATTTATTTTTGTTAACATTTAGAGTTATAATTATTTTTTTATATTACTAATAAAGCAGTTAATTCATAAAAATATTAATAATTTATAAAAAGAACACCATCCTTGGAAGTGGCTGGTCAATCATAGACGTCTAGAGCTAGATAAAGGGACGTTGTCAATAACAAGGATATTAAACTTTTGCACCACCAAAAATCATGCTCATTTTGGTAGTTGATTTTCTCGTGAACGGATAATAAACGTATTCAGATAATTTTTGTTTTATTATTTTAGATTTTTCTTCGGTAGTTACACTGTTGGGCAAAGGTTTACTCAAACTTGTCTTTTGTGCTTATACCGGCTGAAAAAAAAAATGTTTTTCTTATGTTAAGTTTGAGACAAGACAAGGGTGGCTTTACATCAAAAACATGTTGTGGTTTCATGTTTTGTAAATATTTTTTCTTTTTAATTTCTTTGATATTTTTAAAAACAAAGAAATTAGACGGTTTTATTCTTTAACATGTGTTTTAACTGAAACAATTTTAAATTAAGAATAAAAAATAACAGGTAACAAAACTATTGTAGACATTAATCCTATCGAATACTCATGGGATGTTGTCGGTAGACAATTAAGACTTCGCCAGTCCCTTTTTGCTTCCGTGCTAGATATAGAAACTATGGTTATTGATATCTGAAACTTAATAGACCAAAATCAAATAGTACGCTTAATATCCAGCATGCTTATAGAGGAGGAAACACGCGGTATTAGTTTACATTGTTTCTGTTTTTAAAGGATTGTTAACTATTGTTATTTTTTTATTCTAGTATTGTTTCAGTTAGAACACGCGTTAAAGAATAAAATCGTACATTTTCTTTGTTTTTAAAGATATCAGAGAAAATAAAAACACGAGAGTATATGTACCACAGACCACTAATAGCTTACACCTACTTAAAAAAAACAATAAATAAGCGTAAGCTATTTCTCCTACTGTGATCAAAAACCCACCAACTTTTCCAAGATTTTACAACGCTAAAAATACCTCTTCCTCTCAACCTATAATCCCTACCGTGTCGAATTTATGGCTTATAAAGAAAAAATAAAATGTAAAATAATGAATGAAATTTCAGCTTTGGTAAAAGATATCAAGAAAATTAACCCTAAAATAGTTTTGCCTAACTTACAAAAAAATACAAAGGAATAAATTGAAAAAATGTTGATCAACCTAATGCATATTGAAAGTGATGGGGAAGAACAGGTTGACGTTCTTCAGTGGAATTCAATATATAAATAAACATATAGTGTACTTAATTATCTTGATAAACAATGTTGTTGATGTCATTTTGCTTCAGGAATTGTTACCATCTAGAATGCTAAAAAATCACATTTTTAAGCATTTCTTATCTTATCCATTACATATGGCAATCGAAATATTTTAATATTATTATCCAATTTTTTTACATTGTTCCTGTATTTTAAATATGACGCCAAAAATTACTGCTTCATAGCGGACAGTTAATCTCTGGAACGACAAATGTGAAATATAAAATTCGAGAAGGGTTTTAAAAAAGAAGTATCCTTACGTCTTAGTTTACCAGAAAAATTGAAACTTCTTTAAAAACAAAATAGGCGGACATTTGAAAAAAAACTGTTCAAAAATTGACCTTTTTTTCTACTTTTTCAGTCACAAAAATTTTTTTAAACAATAAATTTTTCCATTACCAAGTGAAAAAAAAAATTTTTTTTTTCACAAAAAAAAATATTCAAATTCTGATAAACTATCATACAGAAAAACAAACAAAATGCATCAAAGTTTATTAAAGTCTACCGGCTAGATACGGAGATAACTGTCAGCCAGTTTTAAAAATGTATTTCTTTCAAAATCTTTAATCTCTGGGTCTAGTTTGTCGATAAGAATTTTTAATTTTTCTGGTAAACTATCACGTAAGAGCACGTCTTTTATAAAACTCTTCTTCAATTTTATCTCTCAGATTTACTGTTCTGGAGATTAACTGTCCGCCATGGTGCAGTAATTTTTGGCGCCATCTTTAAAATAGGTACACGAAACAATAGAAAAGAAAAATTTTTTGTAATCTTCAAAAGTTGAATAATAGTATACAAGAAGTCTAATTGCCATATAAAATAAATAATCATTTTTTTACAAAAAAATGTTGAAAATATGCCATTTTTTAGCATTTTAGACGGTAATAGTCCATCCATCCATCCTATGGCTTTACAGCCCAATTCGAGCCCTGAGCTCTCTCATCAAACCTTTCCATCCGTTGCGGTCTGTAGCATTCTCCTCCACGATCGACTGCCAAGGAGATTTCTGGAGTCCTCATCCACATCATCCTCCCATCGCTTTCTCGGTCTTCCAATAGGTTTCTTCCACTGCATTCTCGCATTCAACAGTTTTTTTGGAAATCTGTTTTCTTCCATCCTAAATACATGACCTGAGTTAAAGGCCGTGCTTTATATATGAAGACCAATCGGAAGAAAGGCGAAATGTCACAAAGAGGTTAATTCCAGAAAATTGAATTTTTAAGTTTCAAACCTATTATAGGTACAATTACATATTTTGCGTACTTCTTTATTTAAGTAGTATTCGTAGTTATTTTGTAACGTATTATTTAATCGACGGAAATTAAAATAAAACACAAAACTTAGAAACATTGCTTTAATTAAACACAAGTCACTACAAACACGGGAAAAAGCGAAATGTATGACAATTTTTTTTCTGTTCATCGTTTGTCTAGCTTTATTATTTTCTTATTTTGTTTACGTTTTTGTTGTAAGGTAAGCCTCTATAGAACGATCTAACTCTTTCAGATGTGCAAAACTGACTCAAGTGGACCAGACCGTTGAATTTTTTCTTAGAAATTTTCCTTAGCTCTAAAAAAACATCTATATGAAAAAAGAGAAAAGGAAGGGAATTTTTAAAACAAATTCACCTGTATATAATTTTGGTGGCAAAATAAACTGTCTCTCGGGTAGTTGCACCTCATCGGAATTTGTAAATAGTTTGCGTATTTGACGTCTCATATTGTCCAGTATAGGAATCTCAGTGTTTGAAAAGGCGTGGATGATCTTTCAATATTTCGAGTTATTTGATTGGACTTGATTTATATGTTGGTTTAGTTACGTAAATTTGGTCCAAGAATAGTAACCAGTTTCTTATAAGTGATTGATCGACCTCTACGAAATCGAACGGATTTGGTTTTACTCGACAAGATCTAATTTTCGTGTACCGATGCTCAGGAAGTTCAGCCATAATTGTTTGGTTTATCACACCCATATCTCGATTGCACTCCATGTAAGAAGGTCAAGCTGAACAAAGATAAAATGTGCATTACTTCGTTTGTACCTTTGCCTCCTATGGTTTCTGAAAAACAATAAAATGTAGCATTTCCTGTTGACAATACATGAATGTTAAAGGAGTGAAGCGTCAGTTGTCTCTTATAGTAGACGTCGGAATATTTGGAGTGGATAATTTTTTTCAAATTCCATAGCGACTGCTTCACAGCTAACATTCTTTGGATTTGTGTAGACTATTTGCCAACGTTATTCGTTTTATCTCAACTTCTACCTTTTGTTAGAGGCATCATTTGTTTCGTAAGACACAGTTGCGCCCTTATCGGATTTGTACATAGTGTACATTTTCTTAGTTTTATTTTTACTATAATGGCTTTCTCTTCCTTTAAATCGCTTTATGTCTTCAATAACTTCATCTAGCTGTTATTTTGGTAATGCGTGTTTTTTTGGATTGTTTCCGCGTTTGTTAATTGGTGCACTACATCACGCACCATACGGTTAAAATTGTTTTGTGTTTGATCGGTTTTGTTGATCTACTGTTTTAAAACACTTAAGGCCGATCCTCGCGATTCTGGGCATAGGTAAATTCCAATGTAAAAGTTTATATCAAATAACGCAAAAACTATGGCAGATATTGAGATGATTCTTTTTTTATATGGAAGGTCTAAAAAAGTTCTAGTGCACTATTTGGTTGTAAGTTAATAAATTGTTTAAACAATATTTTTTTTTCAAATATTTTTGGGTAAAATAAACGAAAAAAAGTTTTTTTTTTAAATAGGGCACTACAGAATTTGACCCACTTTCCGAATCTGTTTTTATTTTTAACATAAAGTGTAACACAAAGCAGCTATTTGATATAAACTTTTAAAAAATTTCAAATTTTTGCTAAACGCAATTTTCTCTCCGTCAGCACAGGGTGTCCTTGTCGGTAGCTTCTGGATTCTCGCCAGGTAGGTAAAACCCTCGGAGGAGGATAAATAAAGTTGAATAACATTATTAGGGCTTATTCCGACTTTTGACAAACCAGTGTGTTTATTGTATTTAAAATAGGAAATGTTATATAAATAAGCAGTAAGTACCTATAATTTTATTAAATTTTTATATGAATAGAAATATTTTCTGTTGATTTTCCATTTTCTTTCTAAATATTTATACTGTTTTTATAATAATACAATTGTTTCAGTATTTGCTTATATAATAATAATTTATTATATAGAAACAGCGTAGAGTTTTGGTCAATCATCCAGTACATTTTTTTGTATTTCAATCAGAATTATTATTTTCTTTTCTTCTTTACATGAGCTCAGAGTAATAACCAAATTTGCAGTATTTGAATATGAAATTTAATTATTTATATTTATTGGTTAGCAACCTACCAATCGTAAAATCAAATACTGCTCAAAGAAACAATGTACAGTCTCGGAACCGGATTGATACTATGAAGACGACTACGGCAAGAAATAAGGACAAGCGAAAAACATCCAAAACCCAGATGAGAATTACTTGGAATATCAGATCACTCAACTCAAGGGACCAAGAAATAACCCAAGTGTTGAAAGAGAAAGAAATGGACATTTGTGCTCTACAACAAACAAAAAATAAAGGAAAAGGTCAATCAAAATTAGGTGAATACATACTAATCTACAGTGGAGTAGCAAAAGAAAACAGGGCCAAAGAAGGTGTAGCCTTACTAATACAC